CTAAACCATGTCATCCAAGGCTTCCTCCAACCTGGCTTTGAACACTGACAGGGACGGAGCATTCACAACTTCCTTGGGCAACCCATTCCAGTGCCTCACCACCCTCACAGTAAAGAACTTCGTCCTTATATCCAATCTAAACTTCCCCTGTTTAAGTTTTAACCCATTACCCCTTGTCCTATCACTACAATCCCTAAGGAAGATTTCCTCCCCAGCATCCCTATAGGCCCCCTTCAGATACTGGAAGGCTGCAGAGTGAAATTAACCTGATTCTTTAATATTGTCATGTTACACATGGTTCTGGGGTTTTGGCTTATGTACTAGTAGGGCTGGAAATTGTTACTTCCGACATACAGCTGTAAAGATCAAAAGTGAGTATATGAGTTCTGAACCAATTTTAGAACCATCTACAACAGCCAGAGAATAAAAGGACTGGAACAGTACAAAACAGATAGCATAATAATCTTGTACTCTTGCTTACACTTTATTTGCATTTGCATGCGCTGCTTTCCCCTGCCTCCTTCCCATGCCCAAAAATGTCCTTTATCCCTGACGTATTGGCCAAACCACATAGTATAATTATCTTGTTGAGTCCTGAAGGTGGGTGAAGGTGTTTTCTACTCCATCATAGCATATTTCTGAGTTTGAGACTACACTGAAGCTTATTTCAGAGAACTTCATTCAACTTTAAGTTATATAAGGCATATGGCACTAAATAATATACAGTTCAAAAGTGGTATTTATTGGTTGAAATACTTTCTTGAAAAATATCTGAGTTCTTGAACCAAAGACAAAATGTAATCTAGTGTACACAGTATGGAGTGTAACCAGTCGCAAATGTAAAACTGTTACTATGAAGTCAATTCTTAGTATGGATGCACTTTATTCTTGAGAAATGGCCTGGAAAACGTATTTTATGGTCACATTTTAATTCATTTGTCACTTATGAAAAAGAACTTACGACACTCTCAAGGAAGCAAAATTTGAGTTCACTTTCTTGAAAAGCAGGTTGTACATGCCAGGACTTTTCTCTTATTGTCCTTCACCTCCAAGAAACACCTGCTAAAACTTAGAAGAAAGAAAGAATACTTTTTGAGGTTGAATGACTCTTTTGTGGTGAAGGCCGGTTAACATACCAGAAGTATCACATTGTCTTTAAAGTACTGGGAAGAATTATAAATACTTTTTCCTTTGAGCTACTGAAATGCATGTTTCATATTTCAGATGACTTGGAAAAATCTTGTTGTTGGCAAACTCTAAAGAAATACTTTGTGCAACTGTGCTTCTAAGAAATATATAAAGGAAAGCAGAAGCAAAAGATATAAAGGAAAGCTGAAGCATGTCATTTTTAACAGCCTGTATCCCAGATCTAAAAAATATTTCAGAAAGAAGTGTTTTCTGATTTAGAGCACAGGTATGCAACTCTTCAGGATTTGGAGATTACTGATAAATAAAAAGACCAGTTACCTTAATGGTACCTTTTCCAATGTTTTATCAATAGTAATAATCCTGCTAACGACGTGCATTTGAACTCATAATGATGCTCACCAGATGTATTTTTGCTGGCCAGAAAAGTAAATGCTAACTCAAAATTTTTTTCTTGCAATAAAGTCAACATATAAAATAAAACAGACACAAAGAGCATTGAAGAAAAATTGCATAGCAAAGGGGTAAAGCAGTTAAAATGTGCAACTGAAAATTAAAAAGAAGTTTTCTGCTTGGTGACTGTAATTAAAGAGGACTGCTTGTCTTACTGAAGCAATAAAATAAAATATTGTCTGCTTAGCAAATAACCTCTAACTTGCAAAAATACGCAGTTCTGAATGCAGATGAAATAATAATTTGGAAGAAATTAATTTATTCAAATTTTTACCTTTTGTATGCATTTTTCTGCATTCTTGTGTCTTTGAATCACTTTGCAGCCCACTGACAGAAAATTTCCCTAGAATACTCTCTGCACCATCTTCTATGCTATGTGTTGTAGGATAAAAGCTACAGTTCAAAAGCTGACTGCAGAGTAATGTCAGAACAGACTGCAGGTTTTCCATTTTGTATGCACCTAGTATTTTCACTTCCCTCTAGATAAGGTATAAAGGAACTGTTAACATTTCTGCTCTGAAACTGAAGAAGCAGCTGCAGGATCTCATGCTGCTCTGGCCCTTGCTTTATCGTAGTGCCTTTTTTCTTTTTTTTTTTTTTTTTTTTTTTTACCCAAGTTTGGCAGAAGTGATTAGTGATATTTCCATGACATTTCATTTTTAAAAATTGTGAGGAATGGTGTTTTTCTGCACATTCTGAGCTGGCACATCAGTATCTGGCTTTGGAGCTAGTACTATACAAGGACCCCAAGAACCTAGTGCAAAGTGGATTTAGCTCTACACACCTAGCCAAAGAGTGTCACTCTGATGTTGGTGAGGCTTGGCTTCAAATACTGAAAGAGAACATCATGACCATGCTGAAGCATACATATATGACGTAGATGAGGTTTTATACCCAGAAAGTTTTATACCCAGAAAGATTGAACAAAGAAGACTAAAACCTTGCTTTTCATCCATGTTTTGTGCCTTTCCCATGCTGCCACTTCTCAGGATCCTTTAATGTTGAGGAGTTTGTGCAATTACGACAACATGTATTAAGACAGTATGAGGCATGGCCTCATTATTGTATAATGTGGCCCCCCCAATTTCAGTCGTATGACCAAACCTGTGCAGTAGGGTGCCTATAATATTGTAGTCCTTCTGACACAACAATCCTTACTCAGTGTCTTATTGGATGTCTTTTTGAACATATATACTCAAATTTTGAGTTTATATTAGTATTTAATATTAATGTTATGATAGATATATTTATATTGTTGCTTTTTTATTATTTTTGCTAAAACTCTTTGTGTATAAAATTCTGATGTGGAATTGAAGCTGTGAGTTTATTTGAACTTCCAAGAGCAACTAAATGTGACTGCTTATTTGGAGTTGGAAGTAATGCATTTGAAAGTCTCTTGGCTAAGATTACAACAAATTTTGATTACAGTGCATGTTATATTCTCTTCAGCTGTCAGGCTAGCAGTAGGCTAAGGCATCATCAGTAAGTACTGTTGGCAACAAGTCAGAATTTGGAAACATTTCCAAAAATACTGTGAAGAATTTTTCTCAAATATTTCAATATAAAAGTTTCATCCTTTCTTCATTGTAAGTTTCATTGCATGTTATTGTTTTTTACATTTTTACATTATATATATTCACTTCTGAATTGTTGTATAGCTTACATAATGTTGTCTGAGTGTATGTTTATCAAAAATTTAAAAAACTGAGTATGCTACATTATGTTGCTTCTGAAGATTTAAGTAGTATCTGGTGTTATGTTTTTCAAATATACCTAACCTAAATAAAGGTTATTTCTCTAAATAAAAAGGTTATCTCTATAAATAACGAGAATGAAATAACCATGTATATGTTGAAAAGACTACTATTTATGTTATCTTTAATATCTAACTTATCAATGCATAAATTGTTTTATGTATGCAAAGGTTCATATAATGAACATTCGTGATGCACGCTGTTAGTCTACAGTCTATTAGTCTAATAGTCTACAGAGGTAATTCCAAGGAACTCCCTTTTTAAATGTGACAAATTACTTAACCACTTACTGGAGAACAGCTCTGTATTGGTGAGAGAGGGCGGATGGAGCTGCATCAGAGTATGCTTTTTGTTCTGTTCTGCGATTTATTACTGGGTAAAATGAGTTGCCCTCAAGTCTTTTTTGGTCTGTGCTACCAGCTGTAATCCAATTCAAAATATTTTTGTGGTCTCAGCTCAGTATATTACTCAAAGGAAACTGAATTTTAGCAGAGATTTTGGAAGCTTACCACGTGGTTGTGATAACATATAGGAGGGTGTGCAGAAATGGGAATGATTATTTCTTATGGAGCAGTAGTTATCTAGAGAAATAATTTGAAATTTATATATTGATTTTGAAAATTAGGAGACGTTCTTTGAAATAAATTTATAAAAGTCAGTAGATCTACTTTTTCTGCAAAATTAAAGTCTGTATGTACTGGTGCATGTTTATGTAGCTACAAGTAATTCTTAGCTCAGATTTTCAAAACCTCTTTTTACATGTATTTTTTTGATGACCATGTTACGTTCAGTTACATCTTTCTCTGATACTGCTAAAATTCATGTTCTGTCCTACCTTTATGCATGCTGGAGGCTTTTCTTGTCATTTGTAACAAACAAAGAATACTTCTTTCTCTTCTTACTTCTTTAATATTAATTCTTAGAAAGCTTATTTGAAGTCTGGGGTAAACACTCCTACTTTACACATGAGCTATAGAGGGTATTGCAGGAGAGGGAAGGGGTAATTTTTAAGGTCTCAGAATTACTGGTTTAAGGACTGTTATTCACTAAGACAAGACTTAAGAGTGGAAGAATGTTTACTTAAAAACCTGGACTTAAAATACTGAAGTTGTGCCAAAAAAAAAAAAAACCAAACAAAAAACACCACAACAAACCTATCAAAATAAAATTATAATTTACAACAGATATAGTCTTGTTTCTGCAGCATCCCAGCCAGTTTCTGCCTTTTGGAAGAAACTGAAAGAATTTTAGATTACAAGTTTTCTTTGTTCAAGGTAACCTGCCTTTTCCTTTCCACCTAGTCTAAAGGAAAAGGCCAAGGACAAGTAACATCCTAAATAACATTTCTATTGGCATCGCAGACTGGAAATCCTTTTTCTTTTTACTAATGAAAACTTAATGATCCTGTCTTCTGATATATTGGATGCTTTAATGCCAGATGTGACAAAGGGGTTTGTTTCCTTCTCTGTCCTCAAAGTTCAATATTTCTAGTATAAGTGTTAACTAGCACAGCTCCTTCCTCAGGTGATACTGTAATTATGAAGTAGCTTAATCTTTTTAATTGAACAATTTCTAATTTAAGGCTTTTTTCAAAGGGGAAAACTTTACGGATTTTTGATGTTTTGTTGTCTCTTTCTCTGTCTCTAGCCAACAAGGACACTAGTTATGACAAATATGTCTTCTGAGTAAGTATTCAACATTTTGACTCTTTAGTCAGCACACCATTTAAACTTGATGTTGATTATCTTTTTATGCCTATACAAAATAAGATTTATTTTTCAGGGCTGTGTGTTAAAATATTTTATTTCATTCTCTAGTCAAGGTAGAAACATGTACATACATGTATATCTCATTGCTATTTCTACTGTACATGTAGGTTTTTGTTGCTATGGTGCAGATTGAAGCAGTTGTCCCTTAGGTGAGCTCCACAGGGCTTCAGAGCAATAAAACTGAAAGCAGGTTCTTAATTTTTTCTGAAGGAATTGTTTTATGTCGTAAAGAGTTCAGACTTTCAGCCCAAGACTTAGCTTTTCTGCCACAAACTTTAATTATTTCTGTTTAAAATGTCATAATCTGAAACCTTAGTTTAAAATGTTTTATTTCATACAAATAGTTGCTGAATAAATATCAGTTGTAGGCTTTTTAGCCACTTAGTTTCAAAACATTAGAAGCAGCTGCCACTGCATATTTTAGGGGAGATTTAATAATTTTCTGGCACGCTCTTATCATTCTCTTAAAAGTCTTACAGAGAAAAGAACATCCAACAAAAACACAATTCCATATTTTATACTACACTTTCTTACAGTTTTTCAAATTCTTTTTCAAAACTCAAGATATTTCTACAACCCACAGATCTGGTTTGGGTCTGAAGTAAGTGTATCTTGACAGTTACATAGATATAATTGATCAGAAACAGCACTTAGTGATTATCCTTTTAGAAGTTCTTTGTAAATGGTTGTCAATAGTTATTAACAAATATACTAATATATGTCAAAAACATAAAATGGAATTAATACTTTTCCTGTATTTAATGTGACTGAATGCTAGTAACACCAAGACTATAAAATGCACTTTGCAAGGCATGTAATATGAGATGGCTGTGGGGGAGGTAAAGATAATAGTGCAGATCAGTGGAAAACAGAGGCTGTGATCTTCCTAAAAGAGAAGAAATTGTGGCAGAGCTGGGGAAAAAGTTCTTTTGTTGAAAGGGGTCATTAATATATTATTTCTTTTATGTTGCTTGTATGTTGATTTTTCCCACTATCCAATTACTATTTCATCAAATAAAAATGTCTGGCGATAACAGTTGCTTTTCTTCAGAACGTCGTCATCAAGATTGTGCTTTTGGCTGTCTACAATTGTAGGCATTCATCAACTTGTAAATAGGTGAAGGGAAAAGGACTGCTTCTGAAGGAACTACAGAATAGAAAACAGTCTTCCAAAATACAACCCAATGGCCAAAAGCCAGTTCTGCTACCTAGTATCTACAGCCTCAAAAGTAGTTCATTAGAATTTAAATTTTAAGATGTATGATTTTTGTGGTTCTATGGCATAGGGTTTTGAGATCATTTTAAATGCTGCTCACTGGTTTACAGCTAGCAACTACCCGTTTTTCGGAATCACAAATTCAGAAAAATTTTGCTGTAAATTTGCATCCATCAGTTTTTGCAACTGAAGGAGGTGTAAACTGGTAAGTTTTCACTGCAATTTGTAAGATATCTTAGATTCAATTCTTGTACTACAGGTCTTTTTCCTCTCATTGTAAGGAATTTTGTGTAGACACAGGAAAAGAACTAAGAAAAGGTCCAGGTATAGCATGGAAATACGTCTCCTGAGTATGTAGTTAAAGCAGGAACATGGGTTACAGTGTTGCAAAAAGACTCACTTGCAAGGCTATGTCAAATTAAAGCACATAAAATGAGAATAGTAAATATTCTAGTAACATTCAAAGCAATATCACCAAGGCCAGAATTCACACTGGAATGAAGGTCAGTGGTTTCATTTTTTTTGTTGTCTCTACATACAACACCGTCTTTTGATTTGAGTGTGAAGTTAATTTGCTGCACTGTTTTTACTATTTATTTATTTGTTTGAAACATCTTTAAAATAGATTGCTGGTTTCTTTGTAAAGATGATTTTTTTTTTCCAGTTTTATAGTGGTGCTGCTAAGTAGTGTTCGTTTTAGCTGGGGTATTTTGGGAATTTTAACTGAGTTACTTTCTGTGGAGGGAAATGCAGTGAGACTGAAGTAACCCCAGGGGCTTCTGGAGGTGTTCTGAGCACACCGCATTATGGCAGTGGTTAAATTGCTTTGCCCAAGAAGATCACCACTGTCATAGATACTACTTCAATGCTGTGCTTAGTTGTTATATCTTATATAGCATGCTGTGGACATTTCCAAGTCAGATGGCAGGAGCAGAGAAGGCATTGGAACTGGGCTTTCAATTATAGATCTTTAATGATCATTTATAATCATGAGTTATAAAAATAACTATTAATAAGAACAGTAAATTTTTCTTATGTAGCAGCTTTTCTCTAGTTATACCAAGAGCTCACTCTTTTCACAATGATGTGTTCTTCAGTGTAGCTGTGTAGAGAATTCAAGTTAGAATTCCAGTTATAGGTGGCCATTCTGGATTTTATATCTCATTTTATATGTTTATTTATAATTGCATTTAAAGCTAAGTGATTTTTGAATTGAAACATTGTCTCAGGTATATGGCTAGAACTTTAGTACTTTTCTCTAAATTTAGACAGCATTTTCCTCAGATGCTGAAAATCTGGTATTTCCTAATGAAAACTTCTTAGGAGTGCTGTGTCTAAATGTTTACATTTCCTGGTAATACTTTTTTGATAGTACTACAAAAGTAACCAAGAATGAGTCTCTGTTGTACTAGGCATTGTACACAATATGTTAGATAATTCCAGACTCAAAAGCTTCTATTTAAACAGACAAGATGTGGGGGACAAAAAAGCTTTGATGTACAAGCAGATATGATTGTGTCATGACATAAAAGGGTCTGTTTGGACTCTGGGAAGGCTAATGAATTTAGAGCTAGCAAGTGGGTAGAAGCTCAGTGACACAATGATAAGAAATGATTAGTGAGAAAATAAATGAAGTGAGTTTGAGTTAATTTGTGTTGTGTGCATATACTTTATAATCCTGCATATCCATACAACATTGTATGCTTTTTTCCCTTCTTTTAGGAAGCAAAATACAGTAATTCAAGTGGTGAATAAACTCGGAGACTTTTTGTTCTCAGACGATGTGTGTGAAACAACAAGTCATGTAGTTACAGGGAGTCCTCGCCGTACCTTGAATGTTATGCTGGGAATTGCTCGTGGGTGTTGGATTGTTTCTTATGAATGGGTAAGAAAAATTTTCTTTTAATTTCATTACTCAGTAAATTAAACGTATTTTGCATAGCTAAAATATCAAGCATGTAGCCAAGTTTGTGTCCATGTTACATACAATGGCACAATGTTCGGATATTCAGGCTTACCTAGAGTTAGCTCAGTAAGAGGAAATTGCTCTGTGTGAAGCTCTGTTACTGTGACAGTCTTTCAGTACTTAGTGTTACCAAAGTATTCCCGTATTGTGCCTGGCATGTATTTTAGAAATGCCTGAACTCTTATCTCATGGATAAGAAACTCATGTTACATGCGCTTTTTTTCTGATGAATTAAGCGCTAAACAAATAATTTCTGCTCAATGTTAGGTAAGTTCACATTATTCAGTTTGAAAATATTTATATATTATTTAATGTATCTATTGTGCTCTGAAATAATCATTGTTTTCAGCACTGGTAAAAATGAAGGGGAATTGTTAGATATTTTGCTGCATAGTAGGGAAACTGAAAACTAAAAAAAAATAATAAGGAAAGCTGTTTGTAGATGAGCATTTTGGAGACTTTGTAGTTTAAAGAAATGGTTCCCGTACCAGCAAATCAAACAATCACTGTATATCCTCAAAATTTCTTGCAGACTACCACATAATGTTACCAGACTGTCACTGTAAAGACAAGATAATCATGAATTTCTGTACTGGGTCCAGCTGTGATTGAGTTAATGTTCTTCATCTTAGCCTGTGGGTTTAGACTAGTGACCAAAATGATGATGCTAACCCACCAGTATTTTAGCTGTTGTTCAGTAGTACATACACAGCATCAAGATGTTCTCTGTTTTTCCATCAGCCACCCCTTTGAGAAGGCTGGGGGTACACAGGAAGTTAGGAGGGGACTCACCTGAGATAGTCAACCCCAGCTGACGGAAGAGATTTTTCCATACTGTCTGACATCATGCTCAGCTATAAAACTGGGAGGGTTTTTTCCAAAGCAGCTGTAGCTCATAGCCTGGATGGGCTTCAAGCTGCTGGTGGGAATGATAACTTTTACCTCACTTGGATTTTTAACTTCTTTTTTTCCTTCCCCTTCAATTATTAACTATCTTAATCTTAACCAATAAGTTGTTTGGCTTTGGGGTTTTTTTTTCTTACTTTTGCCCATCCAATTCTCCCTATCCTGCTGGGGTAAGGAGTAGTGACAGAGTGGAAGTCTTACCTGTCAGTCCAGGGTTACGCCACAATTGCCCAATGTGATAATAGTGATTAACCATTCAATCTGATATTGCAGATGACAGTTTTTCAGCTTTCCTTATCTTTTTAGAGCTATAAAACTTAGCTGATGGAATGTATATGGAAATAGCTCTTCATCTTACACATCTTATACTTTAAATTTCTTTGTTTTCTTTTTCTTATAAATACTTTAAAAATTAGCTGGTGAGCTCAAAAAAAACTCTTGCTGCATTTTTGTTTTCAGGATGTCTGGTGTTTACCAGTGTGAAGCATGGCCATGATATACGTGTAGTTATCTGAAGAAGTATACTTTGGGGTTTTCAAAAGTTCTTGGTGATTAATTTCCCTTGGAATAAAGGAGTTTGCATCTTTGATCATCTTAGCAATTGAGTAATGTGCCTTTGTAGCAAAAAAAAAAACAATAGCATCCTCAGTTGCATTAAAAGGAACATACTTCAGCAGGGCGTTTGGACAGTCTCTACAGATGCCTTACAACCTGAACTACTCCATGTGTCTATGAATGAAACATGTTTAAATATCTGTCCCACACTTAGGTTTGTATGGAGTTTTAGGTAACAACATATTTGCTCTTATTTTCTTATTACAGGGTAGTCAAACATAAAATCTGTATATATCCTTGAGAAAAAGCATCTAATAACTATTAAAATAGCTAAAGATGTAGGTAACTACCACAGAAATACAGTGAGATAGTTTTCTATCTTTGTATATAAGGCATTATTTGGAAATTCGTATTCAGGCAGTTGATGTCTGATAATTTCATTAGCCATTTTATGCACTGCACTTCTGTGAACTAATCCACGGTGAAAATATCAACACATGCTCTTCATAGTCCCATTGACTAGTAGCAATGCCAAATTTTTTCCTGCTGTCTTAAGGTCTACCTTTTAGAATCATCACAAGGTTTACGGTCCACATATAATACCAAAAGTTAAATGGAATTGTTCCAAGGATCAATTTGCTCCTGTAAATATTACTGGATCAAATGGCGAAGCTATCTTCACCCATTTCATTGAGTTGCTATTTGACAAAGTTCTGAAGTTACTAGGAGAGCCACATGAGAAGGAGCTAGAGGAAAAAAATCAGAAATCAGTTTTCGAAATCACAAGTTTTTCAATTTTACAGTATTTGCTTATCTGTGAATATTGGTTTTGGTTGTTTTTTTTTTTATTTAGAACTGTGATTGCATCTTTCACTGAGACTATGTAAAACTTTGTCCATACATGTCCAATCCCTCAAGTAATTAAGTCATTTATTTCACTCAAAGAAAATACTGCTTTGAACTTTTCAAAAATTATTTCTTAAATCTGGTTAGATCTATGCATTTTATCCTGTAAGAGCATTATTGTCTTATTTCTACTTGTGTCACTGGCACAATTTTACCATCTTTTTACCCAAATTCCTTAACTAAATACTTTAACTAAAGAAAAGAAAGTGGAAGTGTTACTTTACCAATGTGATGAATCCTGTAGAAAATTAGTCATGAGAATTTAAATTAAGCAAAATATTCTTTTATTAATGTTACAATACTGAATATTTTAAATGTCTTTCTGCACAGTAGTCAATCCTACCGTAAGTACTTTCATTGGTAAAATACTTTGAATTGGATAATTAAAATATTCCAAATAATCCATCAGTATGGAGAAATCTGTAGTACCTCTTAATCAAGGTATTAATTTTGAGCAGTGTTGATTGTATAGTGAAAAATGTTTGTCAACATTTTAAGAAGCTGAAATATTATTTATCTTTTCATTTGTAACTTGGAGAGATAATTTATGCTGCAATGTTTCTTTCTTCCTCTGAGAAAAATTTTAAATTATATTTTCAGAGACAGATGTTGGAGGAATATCAAATTTACTGTAAAACATTTAATCTTCATAGCACTCCATTTATATATTTTAAGATCAGTTATTCAAGTAAAAATACCATATGATCATTCAGTGTTCTAGCTGGATGGGTAAGAGGCCTTAAATAAAGGCTAGTCAAACAGCATGTTTTCTGACCCTTGAGAACTTTATATTTGACAAATTTTCCTGTATGGTGTGAATAAAAGTACATAGCTGATAGGGATATGGGAAGGAGAGTTCTGCACCAAGGCTAACCTTACAGCTGTATAACCCGCAGGACATTTGTTGGAGCTCCATGCCATAGAGGTTGATAGCTACTGAATTAGATAAAATCACGCATACTTGAGTATGAAGTAACAGAAGATTGATCTCTAGAGCCCCAAGCCAAAGGAAAACATACATTAAGGTTGTAAAAATCCCACAGAGAAAACTATGCTTTTCCTACTCTTCTCTTCCCTCCTTGTTTCCTGCTTTCTTGGGTCCTCCATGACCTAACAAGACTACGTTCTACTAGAATCTGATACTTTCTTAATATTGCAATGTTATGAGCTGTATTCATTAACTTCTGATACACCTATATCCAAATTGATCCATACTGTACAGCTTTATCATTATATTTTAAGCTAAATCTCTTGTAACTGCACATTTGAAAACTTCTAGGTAGCTTTCTTCTCGATATGAACACTTATATTCAGAAGTATCTCAGCTTTTCTTAGGCCTTTTCCGCATTCTAAGGAATAAGAAGATACTGCAGACTTAGCAAAAATAAGTAGTTTTCTAAAGTGTAATATTGCAAATCATAACTTTGATTTGTCCTACATGAATCTGAATCATTTTTTTAGTGTTGCTATGAAAATATGCTGGTTGAAGATTTGTCTCTGCCAAAGTCAGAAGCAAAATTCCAGTGACTCTAAGTCACGGAGAACTCTTGCCTATACATTCATGGAAACTGAATGTTCTAGTGAGTGATGACCTAATTATTTACTGTAGGACCTGCTCATGAACTCTGTATCTAATTTTCTTTTCATGTAGGAAAGTATATATGATGCCTTTGAACTCAATTCCAGAACCATAATAGACAAGCATTAATTCATCTTTCGTTAAGATAAACAAAATTAGTTTCTAAACAAAATTCTGTAAATTATTATAAAAGGATTGATAGAAGTTGTTACCATGAAATTGGCCTGGAAAATTAAATGGGATTACTTAATCATAACTAATCTTTTGGGTTTATGTTTTAATCTGTTTGGGTTGTTTGCAAGTTACTCTTGGTACAAATATCATTTTGTTACTGTAAGGACACGATGTGCACAGCATGGTACATCTGTTCCTGCTCAAGATTATTTACAAAGAAATTATTTCCATGGAGCATGTTTCTAAGAATTGTGTTAGAAGTTACAATTTTCTTGGTTCAGTTAAAGTTGATTTATGCTGTGATTAAAAGGCAAATGGCTTGGATAACACAATTCTTTTATTTGCAATATATACAGCTATAAGTATAAAGCTAACAATGTTCTTATTTTTATAAATAATTATTATAATCTAATTCAGATATTCTCATTGCAAATTGTAAAAAGTAATTCTAAAAAATACGCACAGGTACCACCTTAAAATTTATAACTGAAAATCCAAATTTGCAGTCTTAACTGTATGTTTTTAAGAAATTTTTATACTTTCTTTGGATAATGCAGTATTAAGTTTGAATATTTTTTAAAGGTTATTGTTTTATTAATGTGCTTAACTCTTATTTTTAGGTTTGGTATGATATAATGACTACAAAAATTATTTCCTTTTTTGTACAGCTGTTCCGTTTTCAAATATTTGGTTGTGCATTTTCTGAAGTAAACAAAATATTCTTTGGATTTTTGTAATGAAGTTCAAGAAGTTTGAAGATGTGCTGCTTTTCATTATCAACAAAAAAAAAATCACTGTTCACTTCCAATATCCTGCAAAACTGAACACCTCCCCTCCTAAATAAAGCCACACTTGACACATCACACAAAGCACAAGCTTTTGTAGCAGTTCATATTGGGGATTGATGGTTCTCTCTGAAAGTCATCAAGCGTAAACTGCTTTGGACTCTCAAGGCTGTAGAACTTGGTTTTGATAACAAAAATACTTTCTAAATTCAGTTTGCAATTTGCTACTTGTAGCAACAGATTTGGGGCAAAAGAGCTCGTTACAGAAAGTTCTTTTCCTACTTATAATTAGGCTATTTTCTAAGATTTACATTACTAGTTTATAATCAGTCTGTTCAGCTTAGAATCTTGTTTTGTTGGTCAGCTATACCATTGTAAAGGATAACTTTATCATGCTTCATGTTGGTTGATATTCAAGGATCACCTACTGCAAGCTCAGGAGTGTTGCATTCCAACTAGAAAGAAGTGCAGCAGGAGGGCCAGGAGACGTCCTTGGATAGATAAGGAGCTGCTGTGGAAAATTCAAAGGAAAAGAGTCTTAAAGTGGAAGCAAGGACAGGCGGCCTGGGAAGAATACAGGGATGTTGTCCAGGAAGTTAGGGACGAGTTAGCATTAAACTTGGCTAGGGATGTTAAAGATAACAGGAAGGGATTCTACAGGTACATAGCAAATAAAAGACAGACTAGGGACACTGTAGGACCCCTCTGGAAGCTATCGGGAGAACTGGCTACCCTGGATTTGGAGAAGGCTGAGGTTCTGAATGACTTCTTTGCCTTGGTCTTCACTGGTAAAGGCTCTGACCACACCATCCAAGTCTTGGAAGGCAGACACAGGGACTGGGAGAATGAAGACCCTAGGCCCACTGTAAGAGAGGAACTGGTTCGAGACCATCGTAAAAACCTAAACGTGCGCAAGTCCATGGGACCTGATGAAATCCATCTGCAGGTCCTGAAGGAGGTGGCGAATGAAGTTGCTAAGCCACCGGCCATCATATTTGAAAAATCATGGCAGTCAGGTGAAGTTCCTGATGACTGGGAAAAGGGAAATATAACCCCCATTTTCAAGAAGGGAAAAATGCAAGACCCAGGGAATTACAGACCAGTGAGTCTCACCTCTGTCCCTGGCAAAATCTTCAAGCATATTCTCCTGGAAGGCATGCTAAGGCACATGAAAAACAAGAAGGTGCTTGGTGACAGCCAGCATGGTTTCATTAAGAGCAAATCCTGCCTGACAAATCTGGTGGCCTTCTATGATGGGGCTACGGAACTGATGGACAGCAGTAGAGCAGTTGATGTCATCTACCTGGACTTGTACAAAGCGTTCGACACAGTCCCACAGGACATCCTTGTCTCTAAATTGGAGAGACATCAATTTGATAGGTGGATCACTCAGTGGATAAAGAACTGGCTGGATGGCCACACGCAAAGAGTTGTGGTCAATGGCTCAATGTCCAGCTGGAGACCAGTAATGAGTAGTGTCCCTCAGGTATCGGTGTTGGGACTTGTCTTGTTCAATATCTTTGTCAATGACATGGACAGTGGGATTGAGTGCACCCTCAGCAACTTTGCCAATGACACCAAGCTGTGTGGTTTGGTTGATACGCTGGAGGGAAGGAATGCCATCTGGAGGGACCTCGACACGCTTGTGATGTGGGCTGATGCCAACCTTATGAAGTTTAACCATGCCAAGTGCAAGGTCCTACACCTGGGTCGAAGCAATCCCAGGCACAGCTACAGGCTGGGCAGAGAAGAGATTCAGAGCAGCCCTGCAGAGAAGGACTTGGGGGTGCTGGTCGATGAGAAAATGAACATGAGCTGGGTTCTGTGTGTGCTCGCAGCCCAGAAAGCCAACCGTATCCTGGCTGCAGCAAAAGGAGCATGACCAGCAGGTCGAAGGAGGTGATCCTGCCCCTCTACTCTGCTCTTGTGAGACCTCACTTGGAGTATTGCATGTACTTCTCATGTCCTCACCATACAAAGGACGTTGAACTGTTGGAATAAGTCCAGAGGAGAGCCACAAGGATGATCAGGGGACTGGAGCACCTCCCATATGAAGATAGGCTGAGAAAGCTGGGACTGTTCAGCCTGGAGAAGAGAAGGCTGTGTGGAGACCTCATAGCAGCCTTCCAGTATCTGAAGGGGGCGTATAAGGATGCTGGAGAGGGACTCTTTGTTATGGTTTGTAGTGATAGGACAATGGTAATGGGTTAAAACTTAAACAGGGTAGGTTAGACTGGGTACAAGGAAGAAATTCTTTCCTGTTAGGGTGATGAGGCACTGGAAGGGGTTGCCCAGGGAGGCTTCATCCCCGGCAGTGTTCAAGGCCAGGTTGGACGAGGCCTTGGGTAATATGTTTTAGAGCGAGGTGTCCCTGCCCATGGCAGGGGTGTGGGAACTAGATGATCTTAAGGTCCTTTTCAACCCTATTTTATGATTTTATGTCTATTGCTCCAATTTTTGTCTAAGGAGTATTTATACTGCTTGCCAAATTTATGAGGAAAAGTTGTATAATTTAAATTAGAACTGTACATATATATATGGATTTTATGCATCTTCTGAAAGAATTCAAAAATACAGAATGTTTCAGTTAATTGTGAATCAAGCATAGGAATAATTGCACTGATGAAACTCAGCTTAATCTAAGGGAAATGATGACAACAGCTTAATGATGCATGGCTGTGCTAACAGTAAGAAAAAGACATCATCTATTGAAATGGCTGAAGAACCATTTTACTGCCAGGGGTATATTTATCCAAAACACAGGCATTTACTTTCTAACAAATTTCCTGTATCCCATTTTGGCACTATATATATACACTTCTTATTCACTTAATACTAGCCAGTGCTGTAGGAGTAGCAGGGTATTGGTGGGTTGTTGTGGTTTTTAAGGTTGAACGTATGAATCGTGTTACCTCTCACTAGTGGGTGACAATGCTTTTTTTTAACTTAGATTTAAGCATGCCAAATGGCAACTACAGGAAGGATGTTGCAAAGCTCAAGTGTCTGTAAGAGGAGAAAGTTGTAGAATTGTGTGACAGTGGACAAATCTGGCAAGGAACTTACCAGTCTTTTACCTGCATGTTAAGCTTTACAGCTTAGCTCACACTGATGAAGCCAATGAGGAAAATTAACTCCTCTTCCATCAGAGTGTGCTTCAGAATTTAGACAATCTGAAAACTAGTAACAAAATGCCCTTTATATGACTCAAGGGTAGAGCCATGGTAGGTACTTCAGTCTTTTTCCATTTTCCCATGAACACAACATTTCTACCACTTGAAGGGTGGTGGAAGCCATTCTTTGTGTGGTTTTTAATATTACAGTCTACCAGGTGCAACTTAGAATGATAAATTGTTTTGAAGAATGGTTTAGAAAATCAACCCAAGAAAAATGCTGGATGGAGTAGTTTCGAGAAAGATTGTTAAAAATAATAATAGGGTTTTAAAATTTAATGTAGGACTTTGGTATTTTAATGGTTTCAGTTGTAAAATGGGCATCTTTCTGATTGCTTGAGTTTTCAGCAAATCATTTAGTTCAGGTAAATGAAATATCAAACTATTGCAACAGCACTGTTACTTCTAAATACACTTTCAAAGGTTTTGCTGTTTTAGAAATTAGAAGATGTCTACTTACTGCTTAATTTATTTTAGGTTCTGTGGTCTTTGGAATTGGGCCATTGGATCTCAGAGGAGCCATATGAGCTTTCATCCAGCTTTCCTGCAGCTCCTGTAAGTTTAATGGTCTTTTAAGCTTGTGAACTTTCTTTTGTGTATCTGGAAAAAGATTATCCGTCTAAATAGGTTTTGTGAACAAGAAGGCCTATTAAAAAAAGTAATTTTTTTAAGGCAAATACTGTAAGGAATTTGTTTCTTCTTCATCCGCTACTTTTTGAAGCATGTACAAAAAATTTGGTAGGCATGGAAAATGCAAAAAATTGATCTACCAATTAATTGATTTTCCAATTAACATCTGAATAGGTTCTTATTTTAGTATAAATGTTCTTTAATTTATTTGTGGTATATTTTATTTATATCTGTGCTTCTGTATAGACTGGAGAGGCATGTTATCACCTTACAGAAAGATTATTCATGTCATGGACTCAGTATTTTCAGTTCAGGAATTACTTTGGCGATGCAAAATTACTGTCGGCTTCTAAAACTGCTGTGCAGGTAAAATGAAGCATTTTTCCTGCCTTTAGTGATCATTCTCAAGTACTGAATTGTGAACCAGTACAAATGTATGTGCAGACCTGAGTGTATCTGCACTCCATGTGCTGTACTTGATTAAATGGTAATTTTATTTTGGTTATAAGCCAACTAAAATTCTAGCAGAATACTAGTCAATCACTCCAATAGTTTTGCCAAGAAAAGTTTCACAATTTCTCTTCTATTATAGCAGCAGCTGAATATTTTATCATGTGCTACTTGTTTCTTGAAGTTTCATATGGGCTTTGAAGAAAGTACATTTAATGGGTTTTGAACTTTATTTTTACTATATTTGAACTGTATTTTACTATAATTGTATTGACTGTTAAGAACTTATTTTTCTTTCTAAATCTGTTATTTATGTAAATTTACATGTTTGAGATGAATACATTATTTCATGATTTTAAGTTGTAGGGAAACTATAAATTATTCTGAAGTAAGCCCAAAGGAATTAATTCTAATGTAGCACTTTTTGTAAGAGTAGAAAATAAATTTTTTAATACAGGAAATACAGTAAGAATGTGAAAAATAAATGAGCATGTTCTTTCCCACCCTTTTCCGTAATCGTATAGAAAAAGAACACAATACTTGAGATGATGCTGTTTTGAATTTTCTGTTTCTTCTCAGACTACCTTGTTAATAAACAAGTATACTATCAGTAACAGTGTACATAGCATTCTTTGAAAGTGATTCCTGCTGGGATTGTTTCTTTTTATTACAGTTTTTATTCATAAAGCAGAAGTAAGGAGGGATTGGTAGATGGTGAGAAGATAAAATTGAGGGAGGTTATGGTTATGCTGAGAACCTGAATCGCTTCTGTTTGCAGTGTGCTCGTCTTCCAGAGGAACAAAGTCTGTGTCTGAGGTGTTATTTCCATCACCTTTCTAATCATTCCCTTCTTGAGTCATTCTGGTTTCTTACTCTAACAGATGTCTTATTTTTAAAGATACAGTTATTTGAGCATGGATGGTGTTCATATTCCATTTCTGTTTTCTTTTCTGCTATTGTTTATTTTTCTGCTTCCTAAGAAGTATTACAAGAAAATGGAAGTGCATTCTTGTTTTATATACTGTTTATTTGTTTACAGGAAGGAATTAAAGGAAAGGGTTATCTTGTTGTTGTGTTTTAATAGCTTGTACCAAGTCCAAAGCAGTTGCAGGCTTCTTTCTCCTATTACTGCATTTATTCTGAAGAGTCCCTACTTTACCTTGGTGTTTGCAGCTTAAGCCATGAAATATCATTCAGATAAAATGTCATTTTAAGATATGTTCACTCTAAAATTTTACATCTTTTACATTTAGTCTTGATAAATTACTCTATTTTCCCCCCCAAAAAATGAAAATGTCCTATTAAACGATCAATTCAGTGTCCCTACCAGTATCTTCAATAACCTTCCCAAAATAGCTATCAAAAAGCCTTAACCTTTGCAAAGACTTTTTTCCAGCAAATTGAAACTAGCTATTCTTGTCATACTACGTTTTCTTACTAAAATAATGAAGGGTAATGTCAACCAGTTTTAGCACTATTTTCCTTTGCCAGGTTGAGCATTCATACCGTACCAGATTCTGTCATGTGTTTGTTTTGTTTTGTTTAGATTATTGGGCTGGATATGATTAATATCTCAAACACTGGAAGTATTTTCTTTAGTTGTCTGATTAAATGCAGTGAAGCAGGAAATGGAGTAATCTAGACTCATCGTTTCTATGAAATATTATTATAAGGCAAAGACTAAGCATGAGAATTAAAACTTACTTTGGGAAAAATCTCCACAAAATTAGGGAAATATCTTCTGAACTGCAATGTACAGTGCACAATTATAAAGCATGTTGTAATATTAAAGAAAGAAAAAGTGAAAAACGCCCAGTAGAGTAATTTATTCACATTGTGGCATACATTGAGGGCCTACCTATGGAGAAGTCTTAGGGAGAAGTCCTAACATTACTGAAAAAAAAACAACAGTATGACCTTAGATAAATTTCAGGGTGTTTTTTTTCCTGTTTTAGAAATGTAGTAATTTCTTTCCGAAGTCATGAGCATAAATTTAATTGTATCAAAGAACATGCATATGTTTTTCAGTTAGGTTATCATTACAAAATGTATAGATGTACTACAGCACCAGGTGATAAATGATTGTCACACACAATCGGACATCTGGTGTTAATGCCATTATATTGGTTTATAAAATACTGATAAGTTATTTTACAGTTAAATGATGAAGGAAAAAAGTGCAATCTTCATAAAAATCTAAAGGTATGCATAAGATGCTGTAATTCGCAGGGATTTTTGTAGTTAAGATAGTGACTGTAATAACTACAAATTGAAAAAAAAATTGTGACTTTTGTACACAGTATTTCCCAAGAATAAATGCAAAGGAATTTAATGCTACTTGTCCTCTGTTAAATAAGGTAATACAGGCTATTAGAAAAAGCCCTGAATAAGTATAAGAAGTTGTTTAGGAGGCTATGGGGAGACAGAATGTATTCTTTAAGTACAGTATTCAGCTAATTACAGGACACGGGTTTTTATGTACATAAAAGGCAAACATGACACAGGGAGATAAATAGTTCTAGATCTAGTTAAGTGTTTTATATTAGAGTAATGTTTAAAGTTCAGTGATGAGCCAAAACGCGTATTTCTAAAACTATTTTAGGTATTTTTCACAGTTCCAGTTATTTACTAACAAACACATACATAACATAAATGGCCAGTAAAACAGTGTCCTTAAGTTGTCTGATGGTTTCTTGGATGTTCTTTTTATTCAGTTGTTTGGCCAAATCACTGTTATATCAGATTGATACTTTAGACTTTGTGTCTGGTTGAATAACATGAGCTTTAGCTGATCAAGGCTGTTGCAATTCAGGAATTGTACTGAACCTATCCCTTCAGAACACTAGTGCATGTTTTCTGTGCTTGAAAATGAGACAAGTTGCAGATGTGTGTTTATATGCTTGGAAAATGAAGTCTTTGAAGGCTATACAATACATAATTCACATAATACAAAAACATTTAGAAATCTGCTGGTCGAATCATCATAGTTGTGGCTTTGAGAGAGTATCCCGAGCCCTTCCAGTAGTACCATTTGATACCATTGAACTTGTTGTTGTTCTGTCGTAATGGATAATACATTCCGTTGAGGTTAGAAGGTCCACATGCATCAAACCACCACCCTGCGAGGTAGAAAACAAATTAAAACATCAGGAGAGGTAATTTTCAAAATAGTACATAAGGACACTTTGTTGTCCTGAAATGAGAAAGAAATCTAAATGCAGTTTTCTCGTTCTTACGATTTAGAAGTGTCAATAAAAAATTTTGCCTCAAACTCAGAAATGTATTTATGTACTGATGACATATTCTTGAAGCTTATGTAATACACTAGTTTAAAACTGAGAAGGGAAGGTGTTCAATCAAGCTTAATTTATTATATATATCAAGTATTACTGTTGACAGTCTGAGGGCAGAACTCAAACTATAATGATATTGAGTTGTCTGTTTTTTCTCTGCTCTTTGGTAACTTCCTGTTCTTCACTGATTTGAACTCATTCTTAATTATTTTGGAGGATTAATTCAGTTATCTGTTTCAGTTCTCTGGGCAGATTATTTAAAAACCTCTCTGCTTAAACTTGGTAAGAAGGAAACAGAGAAAAAGGCTGCCCAAACTTATTTTGTATTTTTATGGTCCTGACTTGTTAGTGGTTCATAAGGAAAATTTATTTTTATGAATACGATAATATTTTTATACTTCTGTTATGTTGGCGATAATGTGTGCATTCTGTTTTGCAGGGCAGTAATCCAATTAGCCTTTCGGATATACTGAAGTTGTCTTTTGTCTTACAACATGCGCTATAGGGAAACGAACCATTGCTTAAGAGATAACAGGAAGAGAAGTCAGCTTTACAAAGCAGTTGTTTACATTTCAGAATGTGGAATTCTAGGTTGATAAATTATAGAAGCTTCTACAGTTCAAGATAAAAATACCACCTAAAACTCCAATAACTGATGAACAAGCATTAGAAAAAAAACAGATATGGTGCATCTTGTAATTTTGTAATTATATTGAAAAATGGAATTAAATACTTGTACCCTGCTGTTTTATGTACAATATACAGCAACTTTTCAGGGGTTTCTTCTCCTCTGGATATTTAGGGAAAGGGTTTGTGCCTAAAAAATTAGGAGCCATTTCACTGATGAACTGTGAACCTCTAAAAAGCGGGCTGAGGAAGGAGACGGGACTTAAGTATTTTGATCTCTGAATGTTATCTCATTCCTTGGAAGAAGAATGCTGTTCCTTTGATCAGTTCTGGATTACAGACTTTCTTGTACCCAAACTGTAGAGAATTTTGTCCCCTCCAGTTTTAACTTCTCTTGTTTTGCTTTAACTAACTTTTGTGAAATGATAATATATTTCATTTGGAGGCACGATACCAGCATTTCTATCCCTGATTTTGGATTTCTTCAACAGTCACAATTTACTAAATCCAGATTATCACTATTTATCTCATAGACAATTTCAGTGCCAATAAAAATAGGAAGACCAAGAAACAAAAAAACATTCCTACCTCCTGTTAGCATTTGTGAACATTTGCAAATACATTTGTCATTGTCTGCATCCTTTGTGCTAAAATCATTTCCTGGCTGGCTTATACTACTTATTTTGCCCGCTGTCCCAGTAAGTCCTTTAAGGTAGATCCTGTAAAAGCGAGGAATGGAAAAACAATTAGTATGTGGAAGTTAATGGTAGTTGATCTGTGACATAATGATGGAATAGTTTGCAATAAATATCACATAATATCAACAATAAATAGTTGAGTTCACTTCTGGCCAATGTTCTGTTTTAAGCTGTTTTGCAGCATAATGTTTTCACATGAGCAGGAATGGTCAGCACAATATTCTGATGAACAGCCTCCACATTTGCAGAAATGACTGTTTTGTTCATGTCATATTAGATGAAAATGAGAGCAAGTAGATACCAACTCCTGGAACTTTTCATACAGATCATGCATTTTTTAACAGTGCAAGTACATTATGCAATTATTTTTTTAATCAGCTTCAAGGGTTTAGGCCAAAACATTTTTATTCTTACTTTGCTGTTAGCAAAACATGGCAATTTTGCATTACAAATTTGCATGTGCAGGAGATAATAGCATTACCTGGACTATTAATTACCAACTAGTAACTGGTATTTTAGGAGTTCCTCAGTAATTTGCTTTTCACTTTCCTAATTACTCTTCTTTTTCACATCCTTCATAGATTTATTTAATGTTAAATCCTCACAGGTATTTAAGTTTCCTTCAGTTCCTGGCAAGGTAAGCTTTCAGTGAGGCTGCTACTGTTTGGATCTGCTTATAAGGTGCAGATGCAGTTTCAGTGGTGAGGGACACACGGCAAGAACTGGGGAGGCAATTGCTGTGCTACCTTGAATTACAAGGACTCAAACCCTCTTCTCCCACAGTATCTCTTTGGTGACTGTATTTCTGTGTCAGACAGCTCATCCTTCTTGTCATATTCTGTTTGCTTGAGGAGATCTGACTGAGGAGAATTAATCTGTCCCCGGATCAGTCTTTATCTTGCATGTAATTCTGTGCTTATGATAGAAGTTGGTTTTGGAGGTTTAACAGATTATTTTCACCTATTTTATATTCTCTATTTGAAAATATTAAGAATAGATGAATTTTTATTCATTTATATTTCAAAAGATCGGCTCTACAGATTTTCTCAAAAAACTTTTTCAGAAAGTCAAATATCCTGTTTTTTCTTCATGTAAGGTCAAAATTCTGTAAGACAGTTTCTACCCATCAGTGGTATTAAAGATTCCAAGTATAATGTATGATTTAGGCTTGATTATCAAATATCATATCTAATGTAAGGAAGGCATTATTCATTTGTTATTATTATTCAATTTTTGAAAGTACTGCTTAGTATAACAAGAAGATGAGAAACAGCAGATGTAAATTTAAATGAGAAGTTCTGGCTGGGTATCAGGAAAACCTTTTTCACAATGAGGACGGACAAGCAGTGGAACAGGCTGTGCAATCTCCACCTTTTGAGGTTATAAAGAGCCAACTGGATAAAGCCCTGAGCAACCTGGTCTGACCTCGTATCTTTGAGATCAGGAATTTTGACTCAAAGTGCATTTTGATCTCAAATGTTCAGTGAATCTATGAGACTCCAGTTTCATGGCCCAACTCATAATCTTTCCAGCATTCAGAATGTATTAATGCTCTTAATTGAATACTCTCCTAGGGTTTTTTTTTTGTTTCTTTCATAATGTAAATATATTTTTTAATCTACTTGCATGCATACATTCCATGTTTGCATGCTAAAATAAAGTATCATTTTTCAGATGACCATCTTAGTTTTCAGTAATTGTTATTGTAAATGGATGGGGTAATAACCGATTTTGCAAAGGTTGCCATTACAAGTATTGTAAAGCCTTGCTTTAAAAAAAATCTCTGCTGTAGAATCTGACTGTTTCCAGATGAAAAAAAAAAACAATATTTGTTTTGGAATTGAGACAACTGTATACTACTAAGGCATTAGATCTAACAATTTGGCAGAGGAGGGGGGATGCTGACTGTTTTGGATTGCTTTGCATGTAAACTTGAGTTGAAATAACAGCATCAATTTTCTTAGGTGTCAGACTGACTTTGTTTACAAGAAGTAGTTGCTAGAAATCTTGAGAGAAATTCATCTGAGTTTAGATAGTTTTTCTGTACAGTCACCTAGAGCTCCATGAATCTAAGATTCTTATAAACATTTTATGGGCCATGTCATAAGAAAGCATCTGTTACGGTGTGGTCTCTAGTTGCTTCTATAAGCAATCAAACATTATCTACTACATTTACAGAGAGCCTGGAGAATGAAGTATGAACTGCCCATCTATTTCAGCTGTGGCTGATACTATTTAAAATGTATAATACTGTCATAATATTTATTTATGTATATCTATTTGAAATTACTATTATTTCCTATTTTACCAAAATATGTGAGAAGAAATCGAGAAGCTTCATGTTTTACAGAATTATGGGAGCATATATAATAGGTCCATTAAAATCTGGTGTTTAAATCGACAAGTTTGTTGAGGGGTGAAAGTATACATTTACTGCTAGCTTAATTTTCACACGTAGGAGAGTTGGCAATTCAAGCCAGTGGGTCATGGAAGTAGAAGGCAGCGTTACCTCTGTGCTGTTCATGACAACAGAACAGCTCCTACTAGTCACAGACTTAAGTGGAAAATTTCCTTGCAGTATTATCTATTTTAGTCATACACCTTCCAGAAATTAACTTACTGCAGGGAACCAGAATACGATAGCACTTGCAGACAGGTTCCTGTTGCCCTGAAGACTCTGCACTGCCATCCATTATTTTGGCACATGTATCCTCTCTTATAGCATGCCATCTCATCATCTTTGTACATCTTGTGTGCTACACTCACCCAGTGTGCATTAGAAAAACACACATTCTCTCCATTGAAAAATTTGCTTTAGGCAATAGGTGAAAAATGGAGCAAGCATTTTCCGCATTAACTGAAAAATCATATTTCATATGAAATATGATCTTGCATCTACACAGTCTAGAATTCTTATTAGCTGTTTTTTTTTAATTAAGATCTGATTTTTTTTCTGCTTACCTGTATTTTTGTTCTTCATTTGCTAGAGAGAAGTGGTCATACAATGAATATGCCTCATTCCCTTCCCAGTCTTTCAGGTGTATTTTAAGAACATAGCGCTTCTGATTAGTCAGTTGAGAAACAAACTCATTTCCCAGCCAGTACTCCCCAGCAGGATCACCAAATCCCTGTAATTCAAGCAGTGTATTTAAATAGGTTTGTTTTGTTTTTTCTTTGAGTTTGAAATTATCACTTTATCAATTTTTAAGTTTAACAGTTTTCAGTCTGTCAACTAAGAATTTACTGTCTGTGGGGGTCATAGATCTGCCGTATTTCAAAAAGTTAATTTCAGTGAAGACAAACTCAGGAATCTGAAATAGTGAATCAATATTACTTAGTAGGCTTGGAGCAGTTTCTACTGTTGCCAGTAGAAACACAAATATAAACAACTCAAAAAATGTGGACATATGAATCAGTTGACCAAAGAAAAGTGAAGTTTCTCTAAAAAACAAACATCATGCTTGCAAGTCTGCTTAGACAAACAACTTGTTCATTTAGAAAATGTTGAAGTAGTGTATCTAAGGACAAAGATAACTTTTAATGCCTGCTTGCATTCTAAGGATGCCATTAATGCAACCTCATTATATCAGATTTCAGATAATAACATTGAGGCTTCAGAAAACATTGTTTACCATCTTGTACTCTTTCCATGTCCGGTGAAAGTCCACACTGCCATCTTCACGTCTCTGAATAACTGTCCAACCTCCTCCACCAGTTTCCATGTCACAGTAGGCCTACCAGAGTAAGCATGTAGCAACATAAGTGCATGCAGTCACAGCAAAACAAAAATACAAAGCATTTGTGCCAAGTTTTAAAGTGCACAAATGCAAAACATGTATTCACCTAAAAATGCCAGTTTTCATAGCCTTTATACAAATCAGCTGTGGTTGCCCACAAATGAATATGATTTCTGAGTATATATGATGCTTATACAGAATAGAAATGATGTCTTAAAATTGGCTGATTGCTGGTGTTGAAGCAATTAAAATATGAATGTAGCTTCTGATTCTATACTTCCCTCTTGCACTGATATTTTTGTGAGTTTCCTGATGAAATATCTCTCCTGAAAGATGTTTTCACTTCTCCATCCCTTTTTGTGAGAGATCCATTCAAATTTCCATGGCTTGTCAGATTAACATTAACAGATGTTATCATACTGTTAAATTCAGGCAATGAGCAAGCTGAAATATGTTTTTATTTCCATTGTCATTGTTCAGTGCCTTTGCAGATGGTCTGACCCCAAAGATAAATCTAAGTATAGAACAATTGTTATCTGAAAGTTAAATCTTGTAGCCATGTTAATATACAGCCTGTAATTAATATCTTATATTCTAGAACAAAAAAAAATAACCATATGTCCAAATGTTCATAAAAAAAAAAAAACCAGGACAATCATCTTTGATTTTACCATGTTATTGCTAAACATCTGAGAGGATTGACACACAGTAAGCAGTTCAGTGAATTCAGTTTTAGAATACCCAATAAATTCATGCCTCACGCAGTAGAATTCAAGTTAATAAGTGATTTGTTCAGTCAGCCTCCTTCTAGATTAAAATAGAAAGTGACTGCCTTAAAATTCTTGTGTATATTCACTGCAGTGTCAGAGATAAAAGGTATTACTTAAGGTGCCAGTATACTGGGGACACTTATTACAGCTGCTTGTCACAATGTGCCTATAAATGCCCCAAATTGTGACTGAATGACACAGATGCTGTATGTCTTTTTCATCCTCTTCTATGGGAGGGCTGTCTTATCAGTGTTAGCAGATTTGAGTTCTTTGAACTGTTAGTCATCCTGGAAATTCACTGAAAAAATATGACTTCAAAGAAGCTTCTGTTCTGGCGCGTTGTTTTGTGTGTCATCTTAGGAAGTAAAAGTGGGCTGAGTTTTCAATATAGTTATCACCTATTAAGTAAGTGAAATACTTAGTTTTCAGGCTTGACTGGCAATCCAGAACACTGTCTTTCAAACTCTCACATATGCATCTTTGCTTATGAAATCATTCCTTTGCTTTCCAGATAATTTCCCTAGAAATCAATTCTCTGAATAAACAGATGAAAATATTTACTGTAACACTAGGAACTTCAAATTTGCATGCACACTTGATTTTTAATTTGGGAAAAAATAACTCTGTGAAGAAAAATGGCAGTAAAGATTAAGGAAAGAAAATTAAATAAGTTGATCTATGTTTATTACTTTTTACTACATATACTATATGTATATATGTATATATACTATATACTATATGTATATATAAGTGAATGGTATATATTACTAAGTAATTTTAAGGATGGAGATATGCTATTCAGTAAAATGAAGATTAAGGAAAGGATTCATTTAGTTTCTAGCAATAAATTACTGTGTCAGTCTGCCGAGGGAACAATTTCTTCATGATATATGTGAAAAATGAAGGGAGATGAAGCATTTATTTGGATGATAACTTCTTTAAAAAAAATAATAAATCTTCATTCTCCAGTAAAATGATATGCATGTGAGGCTTTCTCTAGCACTCATTACTAGAACAGAACTCTTCTGAACTTTCAGCCTAACCTAGGTTTTATATTCAAAAGGAAGAAATGTAACATTTCATGTGATTAGTACAAATAGATACCAAGATTAGGCAGGCAGCAGGAGTCTTCAAGCAGATGCCAAAAAGAATAAAGATATTAGCCTCTCAAATTACAACAAATTGGCAGGGGGAATATTTGATTTATCTTGCGAACTGCTTCAGTATTTACAGTTCTAGCAGCTGTAGTACTATGAGAGCTAAGGTTAGCCATTTATGTTTTTCACCTTCAGCTAGAATCAGTGCTGTATTTTTTAAAATGCTGTAATGTACAGGCCACCAGGACTAGTCCCCTTTCCAAAGATGGTGTGTAAGCTATGAGCAGTTTGATGACAGTTTGATGTCTTAACTGTCTAGGAAGTTGACTTTCAGTATACGTAATTTTTCTTCTTTATTCTTATACATTAGGATATTTGGGGCATAAGAGTTTTCAGACCTACTTTCTGAATGGTAAGGCTAAAGAACCATTCCAATTTTTATACCAAAGCACTTGCAGTGGCCATGTCTGTGCAGAGTCCATTCACATCACTTTTGGCTGTTGTTTGAACATTTCTGAGTCATGATGCTTAATGATTTTGTATTCTGTTATCTCTAGCTCCCAGAGATGTAACTAGATAAAAATTGTGGTCTTAGTTTCTCTTTTCTGGAAAAAAAAAAAAAAACAACAAAAAACCTAAACAACCTACATGTGTGGTTTATAATGTAATTTAACCTAATACCAGTTACCAGTGAAAAAAGATATGATGAAACTTCCAAAATTAAAAAAAAAAAAAAAAAAAAGAAAAAAACAAAAACCTCTCATCTGACTTCTTCCTGTATCAGAGAAACTACACACATGCTCTTTTTTAATGGGATTAAAATTGGAAACAATCTCTGTATATTTATTTTAGATGTAAGGTCCATGGCATTGGCTCCTTTTGAAACGACTACCTAGTTGTCCAGATAATCACTTTTTAGGAAAGTTATGCAGAACCATTTTGTTGATAAATTCAAACCTGCCCAAATCACTGCCTGCAAGAAAGTTTTGGTTAAAAAAGCCTTGGCTTGGAATATGTGTCAGTCAAAAAATTCAGCTCAACATGGGTGGAAATGGGAAGAGCTTAGACATTGCTTCTGCTCCTATTTTAAGATCTGGGGTAATGTGGTCATAATAGTTGCGTAAAAGTTGAGCTAATGTATCAGGGTCATCTAGACCAGAATTAACCAGATTAATTAATCAGAAGGTTAATATGTTCACGTGCCTACTGTAAACATGAAGCAATTGACTTTTCATGATTTGCCTCTGCCATTTTATCTTGTGTCAGCAGTCTTTTGCTGTTTTTCCTCAGTGTTTTTAAAAGGACTTAGCTTTTGTCCTGTTGTAGAACAGGAAAGCTTGAAAGCTTGAAAATATTAATGGAATGAAATAATTGTTTTCCTCTCAACTGTTGTATGAAGTTCTTTAGTTCTGGATTATGATGGGAGACAAATTAGTAAAGTGTGATCAGTTACAGATTACACAGAAGTTCTTTGTAAGCCTGTTGGGAGGTCAGAAGGTGTTACAAGAGGAAAAGACAAAAACATAAACAGCAGAGCAGCACTTCTGCACATAAAAAAGGTCATTCTGTTTCCTGGTCTGAGTGGCCATCCACATCATAAACATTTGAAAATGGTGTAACGTGTTGATTTTCCCTAAACCTTAACTTCCCTTGACAACTCCTTTTCCACAGTTGTATTTATATAAAAAAAATCTGATTCAGGTTAAAACTTTTTAGTCTTCTATTTTCCATGCCATATAGTAAATAAACCTTTGCTGTCTTTTTAAGTGTCTTTTTCATTCTATCTGAAGGAGGCAGAATAAGAATAAATCTCTGATATTACTAAATTAATTACTAATTTAATTAAATTAGTAATTAGATTAGTACATTTGAACTACTTTCTTAGCCTAGTCAATTACTAGAATAGGTATTTTTGTTAAGTGTTTTAAGCCTCCATGTTCAAATGTTTAATCTGATATTATTAAATGTTTAATGTCCATTTTAATGTTTTATATTTTTAGGAAATTTCTGATTGTACTTTTGCTTCAGGGATAGAATATTTTGGTAGGTTTTAGTTTTGTAGGAATGTGCATTATTCAGGTCATATAAATTGCCTAAACATTTATTGTTTGAAAATGCAATGTTAAGGTTTATGAAATTTTCATTCTGTAATATGACCTGTGTCTGCTTTTGGAAAATATGAATGCTATATATATTGGTTTTGATAGTAAAATTAAAACCAAAGGTAAAAGCCTGAGAGAAGCAATATTAAGAGAATCAAGGAATGTAATCATTCCTGAGATGTCTCACAAAGACTGCTGCAATCTATTACTTTATAGATGCAGTAGCTTGCATCTCGTTTAGCTTTTAAAACTGATTGTAGATAAATATGCTATTTAAATACCATCCTGCTTCATGTGTAATAAACTACTTTATTGCAACTTATGTAACTTTCTTGTGAAACAGTTGTATTGAATATAGGCTAGACTATTCCAAAGGAAAACTAGTCTCTTTTGGTTTCGTTTTTTTTTTCTTTCCCAAAGGAAGCAAACTGCATAATTTCTCTAGATGATATCTGCAGAAATTGTAGATTTTATGTATTGTATTTTATAGAACTTATCCAAGCGTATTGTTTATTTCCTTTAGTTGAGAGCTTTGTAAGGGTAAACATCACAAAGTCTGACTTGGGTTAGATGAAGTTCTGGCACTTCAAAGACTAGTCACCAGTGAATTTAGTTTCTAAACCTTTGCTATCAAAATTTGATTCTCTCACTTTGTCAGAATTTTACCAACTGCTTTTCCACATGTGCCCTCATTTTTCTCTGCTTTTGTACATTTTCTGTTAGCTTCCCCCCCCCATTATTTCTGATATAATAAAGTAGAGCCTTAAGCACTCCATAAAACACTTTTTTTTCTTTAAGGAAATGTCTACTTTGACTACTTTATGAGATTATAAAAACTGTAGAAAATTATTTAGGGTTCATCTAAGAAATGTATTAAGCATTTTTGTCTATATTCAAATGTCCCTTGTCCTCTTGGCCTCTTCAGCCTGCTGTGTCTGAAAATTGGAAACAAACATTCATCATTTGAGTCTCACTCCTCAGAATGCTTATAGCTGCGCAGTCCACCTGACACTTTTCTCCCTTTCAGATTTTATTGACTGTTTCAACTGAATTGTACCATCTGAACCTTTATCATTTTGTTTACTTCAGTAGATGGAGAATCTCTGTCAGGCATCCATTGTTTTATCCAGAGTGCCATTTTTATTTCCAGATTTCTTCTACAGATGTGTAATGTGTTGCTTTAAACTAAATGGACACAAGTTCTTCGGTTAAACACATAGGGAGACAAGATATTGCTAGAGGAATTAATTTAAACTGACACAGTGAAAACACCACAAACTCATCTTCTATTTAAATCAGAGTGGTATTTTCCACAAAAGTCCTCTCTGTTACCCAGTGTCAGTTGTGCTGATGTAATTGCTACCTAATTGTTACACAAATGCCCTTAAAACTCTGCATAACAAAGAACTGGAACCCAGTACTGAATCCAGTACTAGAAGATTGCTTACGTGAGTACATATCCATGAGTACGCTTCCTTGCCCCCGATTTTACCTTCTGTTGCCACCTGAAAGGACTTGGGCATATGAAGGAACTAGGAAGTTAGAGGAGACAGGAGGCTGCTGATCATGCATAGCAATTGTGTTGGAGATAGAGATTTCATAAAGAAATTATAGTACTATATTTCTTTAATTGTGTTAATTATAGGGAAACAAAGAATGAAATTCTGGCATGTTGAAATGAACAACAAAATGCTTGTTCATTTTGACTAAGCCAAGATTTCACCTGAATGACTTCCTGTGAGACACTCAAATCTGTAAGTGATGACATGCTCATTAAAATAAACATGATAAGTAATAAACTTCACTATTAATTAGCTGTTCTTTTTAATACACAGTATGCCTAGGTAGCACTTTATAGGCATCCTACCTTCTTTTCTTGTACAGTGTTTGGAACTGTTAAAGTGTAGATTCCACTTGTTGTCAGTCCAGACTTGAAAGCCTCAGCACAGTCTTTGAAGCTGATTTGCTCCTCTTTAGCTATGAAGTTGTTCTTAGCTGTTAAAAATACAACAGAAATTGAAGGCATTAAGAGAAGATGAACAGACGTTACTAAGACGCAATTAATGATGCAATCAGCTTAAAACTTTGCAGTACTGAAAAATACACCTGGTCCCAAAAGAAATGAAGGTAAAATTACATGTGTTGTTACTGTATATTATTTAGAGACATTATTTTGATATGAGCATGGTTGCTTGATAGGTTAAAAAGTGCTGACATTTCTTCATATGTGGAATAACAGAACTTAGGATATAGTTTCTCATTCAGTTGAACAGTTTCTGTTTCCATTCATTGCCTTTGCTGGAACTCCTACATGCATTACAACCTCTGCATGCACTATTACAAACATATCTAACTAGCAACTGATTATATTAATAATGACCTTTGGCCAGTACTCTAGTGTTGTGAAATCTAACGTAAGAGTTATGAAATCTTTTCTTATACAGATGACTGGAATAACTTCACTTACACAGTTTTAGCTAGTGGTTTTGACCCTGTACTGAGCAGACACAACTTTGTATGTACCAAGCTGAAACTTGGCAGCACAGCCCAACCCACAAAGGAGATATCCCTTCTGGAATTCATTTGTGTAAAAAATGTATTTAAATATGCCTAAGCCTTCTTATTTTACAGAACAGTCTAAGGCTCATCTTTTTGTTCAGTTCTTTATTAACTATGGAGGTTGGAATTTCCTGGCACTTTGCCTGCTGACTGGTATTTCATCTTTTACCCTTTTGGGGTTGGTTCTGTGTATTTTCCCTTTTAATTTAAGCTAACAAGCACAGCTTATTAGTCCAAAGTTTTAGGTGCCAAATACATGCATATATTATAGTTGCTTATTATGTTCTTGAAAAAGAACTTGCTTATTCATTATTTACCTGTTTACATGCTTTGCCTTAAACATAAAAATAACACATTCAGTGTTTTAATAGCTTTTCCACACTCTATTGTTTGTATACTGTCTTAGAAGCTTTCCCTGCTAATTTTGTCTTTTTGGCAAGCATTCATTATTTTTTCCACTCTGGGTTTAACAGTGTTGTAGCCAACATGACTTTGACTTGTTTACTTATTTGTGCACTAGCACAGCAGATAATATCAGCAGGAACATGTACAGCCTTGGTAATGGTATTTAAGGGGATAGTATCAATAATTAAGACAAAAAACTTGGGTTTTACTTTGTTTAGAAAAATCTACATCTTATAATTTAGGATGCCACTGAAAGCAAGGACTCCTGAACACCCTATTCCCTTTTTGTGATTCAGCTTACAGTAACAAAGCACAGTCCATCTATACTGTTTTCCAAGTTGTAATAGCATGTATTTTAAATTTATTCTAGTATTTAATTTAAAATCTGTTTTTAGAGCTGTATATGCATCTGTGTTTTGAGCTCTGAGAATTTTACAGGCAAATATGCCAAATTCTTTACTGTTTTATGTAGAACAGCTATACCTTATTAATTTGGCAAAGTTCCATATCAGACATGAAATTCAAAGTAAAGAATCGTTCATTTGTTTAAATCCTGTTTAGCCATAACTTGCAGTTTATGGCTTGTGTGGGCTTTTTTTTAATGGCACATGTGAATCTGCCTAAATTCGGAAGCTGTGCTCAGTGAATTCAATTTGTTGCAGGGTTGTCAAGGCATCTAAGAGTGAGATTATTGCCTACAAAATTCGTGAGGTTGTGGGATTTTTATGGGTTCAGTAAATGACCAAGGACTTCTGGTAGTACCTGCTGCCCTGGGCTGGGACTTTTGTTATTTGGGGCATACATAGGTGCTAAAAACTGAGCCGGTACTGATTCCTTTGCCCTTTATAGACACTGTAATTTGTCCTTTCTTTGATCAACTCTGCACAGAGCAATGAGAGGTGGCAGAAGCACCCCTTGGGAGCCAGGAAAAAAAGCTACAGCCTTACATCATGCAGTCTAACCTAAATATATGGTCAATATATACATGAATGAATGCCATGTGATATGAATGATACTTGGCATCTCTGTGTTTTGTAGAATTACTGAAGAAGTCTCCAGGCAAATCAATATAAACCACAGAAGATGAACAAAATGTTGAAAAGAAAGCGTATAGATGTTGCGTCTGTTTCCCCACCACCACCACCTCCCCGTGTGCCCCTAAAAAATAGGTTCCTTAACTCAGATGCAAAATTTAAGGAAAATTACATAATTTTTGAGAAGCATAAGTGTGGCAAAACTGGTTGTTCAGACTTTACAGTTAATAATGTACACAGTTTAGGGAATGTCACTCAAATGATATAAGCATGTCTGCTTTTACTTACAGTTTGGTGTAGATATCATAGTAAGCAAGTTGTGAACAGTCTCCATCAGATCATGTTGCTGTTTTTGCAAAACTGAGTTGTTTACTGTAGCTGTAACTAACTGTTTTTCTAGTTCTTCTATAATAGAATTCTGTCTGGCTACTAGGACCTGAAGCTGATCTTTTTCATCTTTTATTGACTTCAGCTGAAGAGTGTGCTTGTCTTCCATCTCAAGAACTCTTTTTTCTAGAAAGCTAAATAAAGGATTACAGTTAGGCTTCAGAGAAACAATTCTGATATGACATAAAGAGAATCAAGCCTGTTGCAGCAGTTTCTTTCTTCTTAAGTACCCAACTTCATTCTCTAATGCCATGAATGCAATAGAAAGCTAAAGAAAAGCTGTTTAGTTTGATACATGTGCTTTAATTTATTATATTAATACATTCATAAACAACATCTACTATAATCTGTATAGCAGGCTTTTAAAGTGTAATAATTGGTTGTTTGATAATTCAACATTATGAAAGAAAAGTTATAGTGGAAGATTTCATTATTTTTACCCTATTAAAAGCTAGAACTTATTTAAAGCTAGAACCTATGAAGTTTTTGAACGTCCTGTAATTATAGTAAAATATAAACTTAAATAAACGTTATAGTGTTAAGACAGGGAAACATGCAAATAGTTGCTTGAATATGTGTAATCCATCTCCTGTTCTGGAGCTGGTATGAGTACGTGACTGGATGGAATATTATTTCATTGGTAATTGTTCTGATGCAGGCTCTGAGAAAGCTGATGTTAAAAGATGCATGACCAGAAGGGATAAGTTTACCTAAAATCCGCTGCTGTTATCAAAAAACAAAAATCCTGAACCTTATGTTTCAAGCAGATTAGCTCAGTATTAGATTGTCTTTTGTTAGGTGAGGAATAATGCTTTTGTCTTTACGTGGGTTTTACAAGGGTAGTTTAAAGTCTGCAGAGTTTAACACACACAAAAAAAAGTTACATTTTAAAAGTCAGTATTTACTTTGCTTTCCATTTGATAAGGATGCTTGTTTTTATTAAGCTGGTAGATAAAACTTTTAGGGAGCATATATAAATGTAGTAGAGTAGTGAACTAAAATGTCAAAACATGTCTCCTGGGTTTTTTAAGCTAATTCTTTCAAAATAAAAAGCACTTTGCACATATGTTTCTCATTGAAAAACATGGCTTTGATGGAGAAAACCTACTGTTATTGCTGCTTTTAGATTTCTCTGTAAACTATTTACTGCCAAAAGTAAAATAGGACCCTGGTGATATGAAAATGACACCAGCTGAAAAAAAGGTATGAGCCTTTGGACAACAGCCGAGTACAGAAACTGATGGGAGCAATAGCTGAATACAGGTCTGAATTTCAAAAGATTGACTAGTAAGGAATATTGAATATGAGTAGCGTTTGAGTTTACTTACCAGCTTAGAAAAAATTCTGGCAAAGACCTGATTGTGTATTCAGATAGCTGTGTACTACATGGAAATAAGGTTTAAAGATGTGGTTGCACTGGATTAGTTTGAGTCAGGTTATATAATGCGAAAGTCTAAAGAAGAACATAAATTGGCTACAACTGAAGTACTGAGAAGTGTTTCAGTTTTAACCTTAAATTCCACATACAGAGGAAAAATTTAGGTAGTGAAGTCTTATATAGAAACAGAAAACAAGAATAAACCTGCATGATTCTCTAGGCTTTAAATAATATATGACCTTTATAATGGGCATGGCTGGATGTGGAGAGCTTCTATACAAGGCCTTATTTTCCTATATGAGTACATCTGTTTTTAAAACCACTAGGACACATCAGGGAATAGCATTTTATTGAGCTGATAGGCAAACTTACCTGTTCTTTTCTTGTAATTTAGTTATCTCATTGGTCTGATCTGAAATCTGTCTTTCTAGTTTGTTTGTTGAAAGAGAGTGTTCCAAAAGCTGAAGTTCAAGTCTGGTTGTCTGGTTTAATACCTAAATAGAATGTATAAAAATATTTGAAAATTAAGATTTTTTTTTTATAAATTGTAATTTCTTTATGTTGTGAAAATTCTACTTAAGCCTGTAAATAAAATAAAATAAATATTTTTAGCACCTAATTTGGGAACAAATGCCCATAGAAATAGAATGAAGAAGAATACACAGGGTTGCACTGATTTTGTTGTTACACTACCATGTATCATTGGGAATATTTCAGTAGTACACTATGTTTCTAATCGATGGCTGAACCTTGCTGTGTACTTTAGTTTTATTGTCATTCTTTACCCTCTGATATTCTTATTTCATTACTGGAACTATCATGGTGGCTGTTCAGGGAATAAGTTTCTCAGTCTGGTGTAGAAAGTAAGTAATTTGCTTATCTTTCACTGGTTGAAATCTTGGCCCAGTCCTGAAATCACTAGATAGTTCACTCTTAGCTACTTTCATTAATCCCGAATTATAAAGTGTTAATCACGTAAACCACACTTTGGTTATTTCACTCCTTGAATTTTAATGTTACCTTTTCTCTACGTGTATTGTTTACTATCTTTAAATGAAGAAATGCAGATATTAGAAAACATGGAAGATACTTTTGTGGTTTGTATCAGATTGCATTACTTTGAGGCATGTTTTCTAGAAATATTTTCTCATTGTTTTAGAACAGCTTTTTTTAATTCAGCAGAATTTGGCTTTCCTTGGCAGGAAGAATTGATTACTCATGTCCTTCATGTTAAACAGTCATTCAGGACATGATTTCACACTTAAGTGTAATTGAAAACTATTGCCAAAAGCAAATGTCCTTGAGAGAGCAATTGTTTGGCTAATTTCCTTGTGTTGCTAATTAAGCCCTTAACCCAGTCACCAGTAATTTCAAGCAGAGAAGGAAAGTTACAGTGATGATTTTCTTCCTCTAAGCAGAAAATAATTGAGTGATTTCCATAAAGACATTACTGTGAATGAATAAGTACATTCTCCTAACATCTGCAAAATAATGGGCTCCTGAATAATGCAGTCAGAATGTTTAATTCAGTATGCCTGTCAGCTATGAACTATCAGTTTAGCAAGGAGTTCAGAAAGGCTTGCTTTAGGTTAAAATATGTAACTTAATTCATTGGATGAGTTCTACAGACAGTAAAATGTCTAACAGGGAAAGACAAATCCTTTCTTTTTGTTTGTTTGAAATAATTTAGAGACTAATATGTACAGTAGGCAAGTTTATTTCTGTGTGAATTTGGTCATCTCTCACTTTTCTAGTAGACTCCCCTAATTCCTTTTTCTTGATTTACCTCTGATTTTTTTACTTATCCCCCTGTTAAATGACAATAATACAGTGCATTGTGCTGGAAATGAACTATTATCCCACTTACAGTATATGTGAAAACATTCATAAAAAAAACACACAAAGAAAACTGAAAGGAAAAAAAATTAACCTGATAAATGGAAGAAAGGCAGGTTGAAGGAATTCTCTTTTTTTCTGGTCGTGAAAGGTGAATTATCAACAAAGATATACAATGGGGGTTGTATAAAAGCACACTAGTACCCAGCTGATGCTTGGATATAGTATAGTAGTTTTAAGTACATTATCCTTAAAGATGAATGGAGTAATTGTCTTGCTAGACACACTTCAAATCCTCCTGGAAGTTTTTCAAGTGACAACAGCGGGCTTGAGATAGAACTATGTATTACCAATTACTAATGTTTCTTTAAGCTGGATAGAGCTGTTGATTATAGTGATTGATTTCTAATTGTTGAATTGCATAGTGTAACACTGAACTGTGTTAAGCGTATAGTTGTCGTGTCTGGGAAGCAGAAGCATTTTTAGTTTGAAATTCATTACTTACTTGTGCTTCAACATCTGTTAATTTGCGAGTCTGTTCAGCTGTTTGATTTAGTAAGTTTGTGCCTATTTCAATCATTACTGCAGTCTGGTTCTGCACTGCAGTTTGCTGGATCTCTACCATTTCTTTCTTCATACTGTCTTGGATGTAATTCTCAAGCTACATGGGAAAGGAAAGAGAGAAGATAGTTGCATTCTTTAAATGTTGGAGGGGGGTAGTACAGTAAGGCTGCTGGCTGCCTTGCTAAACAAATTTGTTCCCTGTATGTTATACAGTTATGTGAAGTTTCCTCATGTTAAGCTCTGACAGAAAGGGCAGTGCTGAGTGTGCAGCCACCCATTTTCTAAAGGCAGGAATGAGATTTGTAGGAGGTAGGCAGAAGGTACAGTGGTGAGAATGCTTGCAGGCACTTGGAAGCTTTCCTGCCTTAGTGCTCCCACCACTGTAACCATCAGAGGAGCTTCACCAGCTTTGGCAGTGATGGGAATGTTTTAGAAGACAAAAGCTTAGGAGTTTAGTCATCTTCCTGTATCTAGACTTAAATATTTTCAAAAGCATTTTTTCATCATACGACTAGAAGTCAGAGAAGAGGTCAGATGTCATTTAACACTGTTCTGTGTGCATTTTTATCAGAGAGTATTTTAAATAAAGAAACAAAACAGTAGAAAAACCTTAAGTACTTTTAAATGTTTAATATTTAGGAATGCAAGAACTGGTTTAAATACTTGATTCTGAAGTCATTTCTGTGCCTAAACTAATAAGACTTTTTTGGTAGTCATTTTATAACAGAGTACACTGCTTTGAGATTCAGATCTGGCACAAGCTTTGACCCACACCTACTATACTGCTGTGTAAACAACTGTGGATATTAAACTTTATTCTTCAAGGTTGGTTCCTTATTAACGAGAGAGAGATCAAAACGGTAATCTCAGCAAAGCCATCTCTGCAAATACGATTACAGAACTCCATGACTTCTTTGAAAATGTTATCACTGACTTATTCTGGAACACACCACTAGAAAATGAGTTAATTCTGGGCTTAAAGGTAAGGTAAACATTTTACGGTAGGCTCAGGCAATTGCCCAGTTAAAACACACAGCTGTAATGTCGCTGTGATTACAGTACACAAAACCCATGATTACAATTTAAGGCATCTGGTAGTTCTGGTTGCCAGATTTTTACACCCCTTGTCACTCTGCTTACAACCATCGCAAGCAGTTTTGTTTGGACACACGGATCTGCATTTTCATAATTTATCTTGTTTGAATATCTGTGAGTATAAGCCTATCTCCAGCTATCTAACCTCTTTCAAATGGCATCTCATTCATATGATGTATTCTAAATCACTGAAGTATTCTCTTGACTTTAGTTTAACAATTTGTCATCACATCTGTTTATAAACTTAAAAATATTAAATAAGTAACTTAGGGAATATGGAATTTGTGCTTACTTGAAAGCATGAAATATGAACATCGAAAGGGATTTATTTTAAGATTTAAAGCCAGTTTTATGATCTGGCTCATTTATTCCAATTTAGAGCAACATGCAGCATCAAAATGATACTGACCTATAAAGTGACTTTGGAGCTTCTCAAGGTTTTTTTTCTCCAAAAAAAAAAAACCCTAAAACCCTACAGACCATGATTGCATAAATCCCTTCTGTTTTTTCCTTCATGTTCACTAATCCTCTTCCACTTTTATTCAATCTCTCATGTACACATCATAAAATCTCTTTTCCTGACCTGAATCAAGATACACACTCATCTCTCTTTGCTTGTAGTTTCCTCCCTCTTCATCATACAGTGGAAAACTGTAGGAAGTAGGCCTTTGTACTATTACATTTCATCATTTTTTAGAGGCAGGTTCTTACTTTCATTTTTCTTCAAAGACAAATAAAGGAATTATTTTAATCCAAAATACCCATTATCTCCCACTGACCTTAGCAAGAGCAGAACATGTTCCCATTGCATACTCTCAGAAAGGAAGGCCCTCGGGCTTCCCTGAGAGGGAGGTGGAAGAACCTTTTCAATACAGGCTCCAGTTAAGACAACTAAGGCTGAATTTCATCAACAACACTGAGGATTAGGAGCCATTTTGAAAGGCTTTAGTTCTTTGTGGCATATTTCTTTGTAGAATACTATTTATCAGCTCCTACCAAGGAGCCTCCTTCCTTTGTAAGAAGTAGCACACTCAGAATTTCTGCAAGGTAGAGAATACCTTGGATCATTTGCAAGAGGGGATGGCACAGGAATAAAATACTTCAGTCCCAATCCATGAGTTCAGAAGCTTGACAGCTTGGTCTGAACAGCATGTCTGTTTTCTCCCATATCTTGCTCAAATTTGGAAGGTGCAGCAGGGATTATTTGCCAGATTTCTCCTAGCCACATGGCTAGTTATGGAAAGTCAGCTTTTAATCTCTTTTTAATTTGATTAATAGCTGGTGTATAAGACTTTTGTTGATAATACATCAACCCAGATTACATGATGGTTATTTTGGACAAAGTAATTGTCAAAAAATAGTCAAAAAGCAGAGTATTAGTGATGTATCTTTCAGAAATTCTGCTTTTGAGGGAGTTAGTCAATCAATCAATCCTATCTTAAAGGAAATTGCAGGGAAGAGGTAAAGAGGTATTAATATATTCAGATTTGAAAGAAGGAATAGATAGTTAATAGCATTTCAGTAAGTCTTCATGGGATTCTTTTCATGAAGCATTCTATTTTTTGTGTAAGACTGGCTGGCATGTATTCTTTTAAGAAAGTAAATATAAAAATGAAAACAGATGGGAAAAAAAACATGTCTCAAAGTATGCTTAAATAGCAAAAACAGCTGGGAAAACTGAAAAAAATAAATTCACCATTAAGATTTGTAATATGGTAATACATTTTTAGAGAAAAAATTCTCTAAGGTCATCAGTTTGGGGCTGTCATGCTTTATTACTTCAAATCATATAAAATCATAAAATTTGATGAAAATACTTTAGCGACATTACCAAAAGAACGAGGACAGATCAGTCATTGTGGAGCACGTTCCAAAACATTGCTCTTATAGCCAAGATTGTCTTTTTTTAAGTAAGCTTTAAATTGGCAAGAAAGGAAAGACAACATGTGGAGTATGCGTTAAAAGAAGTTTGTTTTCTAACCATTGGCAGAGATAGCATTAATCCTTTATGAAAGGTTACCAGTACTTATCTAAATGAAGAGTCTTCCTGACTGCTGTTGTATAGTGTCCGTATTACAGAAGAATTTTCCACAAATCAGTAACTTAATTGTGCATTTTTGAGGCACATTATCATTCTTTCATTTAAAGTTATAAATGAGGTCTTACTTTTGTTCTTTGTTGTCAAATGGGCTAGTACTAATTAAAGAGTCATTTTTCTGGCAGCATTTATAACTATACAAATACATATATCCCTTCTTTGCCAAATGCTGCCTTGTATAAATGGTACAAATAGTACTGGCTGCTAGTTTCATTTTATCAAATTTGTCATTTATTGGAGCAGTCTTTCCTAATAAAGTTTGGTGATTTTCTTAATGTTTATATTACTGATTCTTTTAACTGTTAACGTTTCTTTTCAGAGAGCAGTATGTTAATCCTGAGTTTCTACAGAGCGTTGTGTCCCTTAGTAGAAGTAGGAAGGTGGCTGGAGCTGCATGATCCTTTTATCCAAGGATTCACCATCCAACCCCTAAGATCATCATCATCTATCAAGATCTTTTTTCCTTGAACCAAATATGGATTGCTAAGCTAAGCAATTCATCACTTTCAAGGACATTATCTATAAGTTTGAGAAAATTCCAAAAGCGGTTTTTAGACTTTTCTTGTCAAATGAAATCTCAAGATAACCTTTATTCTTATAACAAAGCATCCATTCTAAAATTGATAGGAGAAGTATCAAAGAGGTCAAAGTTTATCTGCAGTCATATCTCTATAGCCCTGTATTTAGATCAGCAGATGCATTGCAAAAAAAAAAAAAGTCATTAGCCCCATAAACTCAGCAACTGCTGTGTGTGATACACTCTATGAAGCTCAGCTGCATTTAGGTTGTTCATTCTAACAGCTGATTGCTGGATAAATAGAACGGTCATACACGTTCATGCTCCAGCCATGTGTTCCTGCTCCCCAACTTGCACCAGCTCTCACAATATTTTGGGACTTTTGACTAAGCCTGGAGGCACTAACTTCAAAGAAAAGAAGGGGCAATGTCCTATCAAGTTTGTGGATTGTGGATCTGTCCTAGATGTCAAAGCTGTTACTAAGATAACTGTGGCTGTCAATAGCGTAGAAAAGTTACTGTAAGAACTAACATGATTTGAAATCATATGCTAGAGTTTTAAATACAGCCCAATACTTGCCTAAGGATATTGGTGTCATTAGGGTCATTGTCTTCCTCTGATTGCACTGACAACTGATTGTTCTCCTGCCATTAATTTGAAGTTTTAGGCTCTTGATATTCTTGGCATTGGCTGTCTGATAAATATGGAATAATTTAACTAAAACCAGCTTTCTTCATAGTTTGAATGGGGAAACCCAAAGAATATGCATTAGGTTTCCATGAGAAACAGCTGTTTCTATACAGACTTTGATTGTGCCTAGTACTTAGTTTACAAAGTAGTTCAAAAGAACTTGCAGAAGTATTGAGCAGGTTGTATTGCGACATGTATTGGAACACATATTTCATGCTTAGTCATCTAATGTAGATACAGAGAAAATTGCAGGGATAATGGCATGTCTGTAGTCTTTTTCCTCTTATTTTTGTTCTGAATTTGCGAAAGTGGAGTAGATCCTGTAGGAAACCTAACAACAGAAAAGACAACATTTACAACTAGGCATATATTATTTACTATATTTACTTTTAAATATACATTGAAGCTACAGTGTTTGACATATATTAAGCTGTCAAAAGCTTTTTGAGTTCCTACTCTTGCATCTCTCCTGAAAATGTCCTGTGCTTTTTTCAAAACATACCGTGAATTTAAGCCAAAAGCATTTAATCACCTCTTCCAATACCTTTAGTCATCATCCTGACATTTTGTTCTCCAAGATTTGTGTTTATACACAAAAGTGAGCAAGATGGAAAATGAACTTAAGCATCTATAATCAGTTTAGCTTAGCTCTAGTGACAGGGCAAAATACGAAAACCACTGATGAGCTTCATTAGTT